ACTGGGTACCTGCACACGTACAAGTCAATGCACACGACCAAGGGCCTGGGCCAGGTACCTGGACCTACAGTTGACTTTGACCTTTGAATTTCTTGTTGTGCGTGGTCATACAGCACCCGCAGTGGCCTGAGGCCGAGCAGCGCGTGGTCGCACTGCTCGTTGGGCCTGGGCTTGGATTACAGCGCCCAGGCCGCGGCTGAACGCGGTTTACTGCAAATATGAGTTGTCTTTTCTGTTCCTTTTTCATCTTGGCCTAGGCGGGCATCCTCTCCTTCAATTCCTCAGCCACGCCTGTGAGGGAGGTGTCTAAAGAGACCCTAACACAAGCAGTCTCTGGACAACTATTTAGACACCGGCCTGCAACCTCTGCCATAGGCTCATGTGGTGTGGGAGTCTCCTGCCGGCTAGCGCTAATTTCCCCACATGGCCTAATCGTAGGGGCAGTTGCCACCCCTACCGGCGGCTGCCGTTTCACCCTTGAGCAGCCGATCGGGCCTCTCTGTACTTAGGACAATATTTAATGATGTGGCCCGGGTCACCGCAATAAATGCACTGGCCCCGGTCCACACGCTGTTGCCATAAACCCTTGTCCAGACCCAAATCTTCCCAAGGCTTACCTTGCGGCAGTCCTGGGTGCCATCCACCTCTCCTATAAGGAAACCTATTCCCAGAACGGTTTTGCGGGGGACCTTGACCCCTGCCTCCCGCTTGGCAGTTCCCTCCTCTGCCGCCAACCCCCTGAGCGCCCTGCGATCGGTTCCCTGGGGCCCGGCCCCCTTGGCCCTGGCCTCGTCCTCCTCCTTGCAGCCTCCCTCCAGCCGTGACAGCAGCGTAAGTCCTCCGTTGACTTACCCCACTGTCCTCATTTTTTAACCCCCACTCTATCTGATCGTAGGGGATCTCGTCGACACTACCTTCCTCTAAAGTAAGGACAAGACTATCCTTGGTCTTAACTTGTCCTGAGATAGTGTGACCCTTCCACTTATTTCCTTTGTCCAAGTCTTTGTGCCAGAAAGTGGAAACTGACACAGATTTTGCCTCAGAGGCTACCACTTCCCTGCTGAGTGCATCGTACGTCATGGCAGGGTCTTGACTCTTCGCAAAGAAGTGGCCACACAGCGATTCGGGCATGGCCCTATAGAAGAGGTTGACAAACTGGGTCTCTGTGACCCCGTGGTCAGGAACAGCTACCCATTCGTCCATAACACCCTTGAGTGCCCTGGCACTCTTCCATTGACGAGAATGGATGGTCTGAAGCCTATCCGAGGCATCAGCAAATCGCTCGCGCAACAACTTCATGAAATCTACAAGGGGGGTGAATGACGAGTAAGCAACTGCATCATCATTGCAGTTGGCAGAGCGGACTAGGGACCTTGCGAAACTGGCAGCCTCATCTCTAAGCGCATGGATCGCAATCAAGACGTGCTGATCCGGGGAGACCTGTTGCAAATGCACATAGGTCTTAGGAATCAGGGAACTTGACCTTGACTGGCTCCCTACGAGGACGTGCTTCTTCCTCCTTGGGAGTTGTCGCCTTGACGCCTTCAATGGGGCCAACGCAGAATCGTTCGGTCTTCTCGAGGCGATGGTTCATCTCGGCCCCTACTGCGCCTACCAGTTCGCGGGCAAAATCTCGAAATCCCAGTCGCATCGAGTGCACAGCCATGTCCTAGCTTCTACTAAACTCATATTGTTCCTCCTGTACTCGGGCCAAGCCCTCGACACTCTGGGCGATGATCTCTACCTTTCGTTGGAGGTCTACTTGAGGGGTCAACTGTAGAGTCAGTTTCTGGACCTCCTCTAACTCTTTGACCGCTTCACTTGCTGCATCCACCCTCCTCTTCTTCTTCTCACTCATCATCCTTAACTTCCACTCCATTCTCTTCTCATCTTCCATTGCCTGTCGCTTCAAGGCATTTCTTTCTGCATCCCATTCCTTCACGACGGCCTCCTGCTCGTCCTTGGGAATATACATGGCTACCTCCTCCTCTTCTCCCAAAGACAAGTTGGCAACCCACTCTGAAATCCTCTTCTCCATCTCTTCAATGTACTGCCCTCATTGCTCTCTCCTCCTCTCCAGTGGCTGCTCCTCTTCCTCCTCTTCCTTTTCCACCTCCTTTAGTTTCTCCTCCTCTTCTTTCTTCAGTCTTTCTTTCTCCCTGGCCATCTCCTCCTCTACCTTCTTCAACTTCGTCGCCTGCTCCTCCTGTAAGGCCTTCTTTTTGGCCTCCTCTTTCCTCTCCCTCAGGACGGCGGCCATCTTCTCCTCCTCCTCCTTCGTATAAGGCTTAGTGGAGGCACCACCCCTGGTATCTACTCTACATGTGAATGTGTGCCAGAATCCCAGGGGAAAGAGGAGACGTCAGAGGGTCCCCCAGAGGGAGAACCCAACAAGTAAACCATACATCGGGTAATCATCCATGGTGTCAGGTGCACTACAGAGCAGTCCCACTCCTCACCACGTAGACCAACCCGCATACTCACTAACAGACTCTCTAAGGACCACAGGGTAGAACCCTGTCAACTATGGTCACTAACCTGGACCGACTCTAAGGATGTCACTACTAAACCAGTGGCTGATCTGGAGGCATTTAAGGAGATCCCCCAAAACTCCGCAAGAATTCTTTAACGTCGCAGACAAGACGACATGATCAGCTTGGTTCTGCCTGTGCTTTCAGCCCACAACTCATCCTTTCCGACCTACTGTGCCACACCGAGCAGCCCGCCGGTCTGTACCGGTCCTTGGGAGGGTTCGTATCCCCCGGGACAGTCGAGTCGTCAGACACAGATCCTCAGCCTTACTTGGTCCGGTAGGGGAGTGGTTCAAACAAGCCCTCAACACTTAAAGACTGCCTGGTGTGTCAGCCCTAACTGCCGTTCAGGCCCACTGAGTCCTACCAACCGTTTCCAGCCGGTCAGCACCGGTCCTTGGGAGGGTTATGCCCCCCTGGAAAGTTGGATCAGCCACAGTCCCAGCCCTACAAGGTCAGCCTAGGGTTTCGTCATCCAAGCACTATCCTTCATCCACAGAGTGCTATCACCTAGGACAAAAGGGACTCGATGCAGAAAGAAGAGACAGACAGACTCAGACTCAGCAAGTACCGCCGGGTGAGTGCACATCCACAGGGTGAGGGGATAGGCTAAGGGCTTGGCGAGATGTTACCAACTCCAGCTTGGTCAAAATCTTGGTCAACAGCACCGGTCAACTCTTCGGTCAACGCTCGGTCAACGCCCTGGTCAACCATCCGGTCAACGCCCAGTCAACTCTCCGATCAACTCTCCACCTCGGCTATGGCTGCCGACACCTTCACCTTCGCCACCCTTGTTTCTTTCTTCCCCTTCCTTCACCTTCTTCTTCCTTTCTTTCTCTCTCTGTTTTTTTTTTTTTTTGTCACCTCGGCTATGTCTGTCTTCTTCTCCGATATCTCTTCCTCTATCTCTCTCCTCGGTCCCTCCTTCTTTATCCTCCTTCGTCACTCTGTGGTACAGCTCCGCAGCTATGGCCGCTTTCTCGCTCCTTCGTGGGTCTGCTCAGCTCGCTTCACAGGTAAGTGACAACCAAACTTGTATCGCTCATCTCTCTCTCTCTCTCTCTCTCTCTCTCTCTCTCTCTCTCTCTCTCTCTCTCTCTCTCTC